AATGAAGCTGAATTTCCCTATTCTTCCCTATTTTATACTCCTTCCCCTTCTTCCTCTCCATGTGTTCACACATCCTTGCCTGTGGTTTCACAATTTCCTTCACATGGCCTTTTACCCACTCATTCAGCTTCCCAACATTTCTCTTCTAATAACTCTCCTCATATTTCCCAGCATGTTTCTCCTCATACTTCTTTTCCATCTCAGTCCACTTCTTCATCTTCTACTTCTCAGTCTTCTGCTCCTACCATTCCCTTAGTTGTTCAACTACATATTTCTCCTGTTTCATCTTCTCATATTCCTTCTGGTGCTCTACAGCCATCTCCCTTACAATCCCCTCAGCCCTTTACTCAAAATTGTCATCCAATTGTTACAAGATCTAAGGTTGGCACTTTTAAGCCCAAATCCTATGCTGCCCATCTCTCCATCTCTCCTTTACTGGAACCAGCCACTCCAACTGAAGCCTTATCAAAACCTGAATGGATGTCTGCTATGAGAGATGAGTTTAATGCTCTCATCAACAACCACACTTGGTCTTTGGTTGATCCCACTCCAGACATGAAGATTATTTCAAATAAGTGGGTGTTTAGAACAAAATATAAACTTGATGGCTCAGTTGACAAATTTAAGGCTAGGTTAGTTGCCCGAGGTTTTGAGCAAACAACAGGGGTTGACTTCATGGAAACTTTCAGTTCGGTTATTAAAGCTTGTACAATCAAACTGGTCTTCACATTGGCTGCCACTTACTCTTGGTCAATTCAGCAAATTGACATTAATAATGCCTTTCTAAATGGCGACTTGCTTGATTCCTCTCTTCAATTTAAAGAATGCATCTCCGATTCCTCTCTTTTCTTTAAAAAGAAGCATGGTGAGCTGTTGCTTGTTCTCATTTACGTTGACGATATCCTTATCACAGGTGGTCACTCTGATTCAGTTCATCAACTTATTGCTGCTCTTGGTAAAAAGTTCGCTTTAAAAACAATGGGTGAGGTCAATCATTTCCTAGGATTTGAAGCTCTTAAAACCTCTACAGGCTACAGTTTGAATCAGTCCAAGTATGCTTTGGATTTACTGGTCAAAACTAATATGGTAAATTGTAAACCGGTTTCTACTCCAATTTCTGCTGCTAAAAAACTGCATCTTTCTGACAGTGCTCCTTTTTCTGATCCAACCTTTTATCGAAGTGTTATTGGTGCTTTACAATATCTAACAATGACAAGACCTGATATTTCTTTTGCGGTTAACAAACTTAGTCAGTTTCTCCATTCTCCCACTATGAATCACTGGCTTGCCTGTAAACATTTGTTACGATATGTCAAAGGTACTCTTACACTTGGTCTGTCTTTCACACCTGTCACAAGGTTTACTCTCTAAGCATACACAGATGCTGATTGGGCCGGCTGTCTTGATGATAGGCGTTCTACAGGTGGGCACCTTGTGTTTCTTGGTACAAATCTCATTACATGGAGTTCCAAGAAGCAACATGTTGTTTCTCGAAGTAGTGCTGAGTCCGAATATCGATGTCTTGCAAATGCCACTTCTGAACTTCTGTGGCTTCATTCCTTATTTCATGAGCTTGGTCTCTTCTACGAGTCTCCTTCAGTCTTATGGTGTGATAACGTTAGTGCCGCTGCCCTTGCATCTAACCCTGTCCATCATGCTCGCACTAAGCACATCGAGATTGATATTCATTTTGTGCGCGAGAAGGTTGCTGCTAGTGAAGTTGATGTTCGATATGTGGCCTTTGAATTACAGTTTGCTTATATACTCACAAAGCCACTTGTTGTCTTTCATTTTCGCTCTTTATGCTCTAAACTGCCTTTGTCTGCAAAGGGTGCTGTCACCTAGTTATGTTTCAGGGGGGTGTATTAGATAAATCATGTAATTAGGAAATTTAGTGTGCTGAAATAAAATTGTGTGTAACCGCTCTCAACTAAGAGCCAGCTAAGCACACCATCTGTATAAATTCTGTAAACTCTTTGTTAATGAGATGAGT